GTATGGCGCGTGCAAAGCCACCTTGTATTCCTCACTCTCCTGACTCACTGGAGTTAACCTCCAAAGCCTTCAAACTATGACTGCAAACCATGACATTAATCTGACTTAGCCCCCTGAACCTCACTGACCCCAATGCGGACACAATACTACGCTATGACTATGGCACACCATGCAAGGGAACAGAGAATGCATTCATAAGAAGAAAGGAAAAAAGCCCTGATCTGGAAAGCCCAGGTAAACCCCATCTCATCAGATCTCAGAAGCTAGCAGGAGTGACACTGGCAAGTATCTGGAAGGGTGACCTCCAAGGAATACCAGGGCCGGGACGCAGAGGCAGGTTATCAAGCCACCTCTCTGAAACATCCTAGCCCCACTAGGGGTTGCTAGAAGTCACCACGACTTCTGAACTCACAAGCGTACACACACACAATACTCACAAAAAATAGTTTTAGAAAAGGAAGGCACGCTCCCTGAACTATGGTCTGGAAGCCAGGGAAAATGACATTTAATGAGAGCCTTAAAAGGGTGGGCATGTCCAAGTTCATTAAAAGCTAAGTGAGAACTGCTCACAAGCAGCTAACGGGGAACCCTCCCCGCACCCTCGCCAGATTAAATGTTATGATCCAGAAAATAAAGCAATCATGAACCAATATTATGTAGGAAATCTGGATGAATTTTAATAAAGTAGGTAAACTCATATCCTGAGAGACTGATAGGAAACAGGTGGAAACACTGGCCAGTATTCAGGGAGACCACAATGTACACCTTGTTTCAAACCCACCATTAACTAGAAAGTTGTTTTCACGAGGAGCAAAATGTACATAAGCTGTATTTTTTATTTAAGCAGAGAAATCCAATTACTTTGGTGTGATGTCTGAAGTCCCACTCCCCCCCCCACCTTGTGATCAAGCCTGTTCCCAGCTCCAGTTTATTAGATACAATGGCTAGCGTCTTAATGCCAGTTTAATTACACTATTATGCTACAGGTGTCTTAAGACAGTATTGCTCCCAGAAAGATACAGGGAGCCCCATGGGCTTATGAGATCTATTATCCTATCTGCTCTCCATCATTATGAACAGAATTGCCCTAAGATATTGGAGAGAGGTATACTAGAACTGCCAACCTAGCAGTTCGAAAGCAAGAAATTGCAAGTAGATAAATAGGTACCACTTCGGTGGGAAGGTAACAGCGTTCCATGCGCCTTGGTGTTTAGTCATGCCGGCCACATGACCACGGAAACGTCTTCAGACAGAGCTGGCTCTTCGGCTTTGAAACGGAGATGAGCACCGCAACCCTAGAGTCGGACTCGACTGGCTTTCGAGCAAGGGAACCATTACCTTTTTATACTGGGGGATGACTATATACCACAAATCACACTACAGTGGAGCTCTTTCACATCTTAAACTTGTCCTGTGCCACAGTTTCCAGAAAGACTGGCCACTATTAGTCTGTGCTGTAACACTGATATTGATTTCAGGGACAGAAGAATGGGGAAAGAGGAGACATTTCAAATGTGCCAGCTATAGTTAACTGCCAAAAACTAGATACTAATTGTATGCATTGGAGGTGGGGACACTTTAGTAGTGTTATTTGACTCCTACCTCAAAAAGAATCAGGTTATAGGTGAGGTGAAAGACCTCCATCTGAGACCCTGCCAGTCAAGTAGGTAATACAGACCTGGATAGACCACTAGTCTGATTAAGTATGAGGCAGCTTCATGTGCTTAGAAGCTTGCCAGCAGAGAAAGTGTCATATACCAGGTACGGAAAAATGGTAAAGACTGATGTAGTATAGCAGCTAGAGTCAGAGCAGGACTGGAAGACAAGGGTTCAAATCCTCTCTTGGCCACAAAAGGGTGACCTTGAGCCATTCACTCTCTCTCTTAGCCTAACTTGTCCCACAGAGTTATTATTGTGAAAATGAAACAAAGAAGAAAAGAACCATGCTGGCTGCCTTGAGGTCCTCTGAGGAAGGAAGAACAGGATGAGAATGAATGAATAAATGAAGAGAGAGATGACAATCTTGGCCTCCAACCTAATTACAAAGCCGCAAGCATGTCTAAGCCACAGAGGCAGTCACTCAGGAACTGCTCCTGAAATATTAAGAGTGGCAAGAACGCCCCTCCCCCCCAAAACATGTCTGAAGCAAGAATGAGATCAAGCTGCTACAAAAAACCATTTTAAGACACAACTAGACAATCTGCCTCCATCTTGTATTTTGAAATCGCAGCCTTGGCTTCTGCACCATGACATTAAGTGAGGCGATTTTCAGAGTTAAGCAGAGGGAGGGATGCTTAATCCTCCTGTAACTCCTTCCGCCCCCCCTGGCAAGAGTTCTAGACCACACAGTACCATCACCCATAAATGACTGAGGGAGAAGTTGGACCTCTGTTAGTTGGGATAAAACCACCCCAATGTCCATCTTTTAGATCAACTTCCTAAATAAACTGCTAAGATCTAAAGAGAGGTGCAGTTGAAAAAGCAGCAACACTGTTAAGGCATGACCAGATAAGCATTCACCAAGGACCTGCATCAAGCTAACCCCAGTTCAGAAGGAAGAAACATGAGGTACTACCCTAAGACTTTTCAAAGAAAAAAAAATAAAATAAAGAAAAAGCAGTCACCCACCCAACAGAATTATCACACAGCAGATGGGCCTTCCCTATCATTTAAAGCAGTGTTTCCCAACCCATGGGTTGAGACCCAAAAGTGGGTTGTGGGCCAACCCTCCCTCGTGGCCACCACTGCCTTTTCCATTACACTCTTTTGTATTTTGGAGACCAAACCCTGGAAACAGTACCTTCCATGCCATACAGTAGTTGGTATTTTTTCTTCACTGCATATACTCGAGTTTGTTTCTTAGACTCTTAGCAGGGATTAAGGGGTGAAATGGAGAAGGAGAGGGTGGTCAAAGTCTGGAATGTAACCTCCATAAGCAAAGATTGTGTTATGTCGGAAGGTCATAGTGGGGGAAGCTGCTCCCTTTGTGTGATGTTTCTTGGTTTCTCAAAATCATCTGGTTAGCCACTCTAGGAAGTAGAATGCTGAACTAGATGGGTGCTAAGGTCACAGTTTGCCTAAAATGCCAAAATTATGGGCCAGCCCTGGTTGGGTCATCTTATCAAGTTAATTTGGGCATGTGGGTCACCATACCAAAGATGCTAGGAACCATTAACTTCAAGTATACAAGTAACATTCAAGGACTTGTATAAGCCTGAATAATATTGACAATGTTAGTCCAGAACTCCTTTTTTTGGAGGGAAAGGTCCCAAGCCAATCTTCAGAGCCCGAAGTACCCCATTCTGCCTAGTGAAAAGATGCCCTCACCATACCCTGGTGGCGCACACGTTTTACCCTTTCAAAGCTCTGCTCGGCTTCCCAGGTCATCCTCTCTAGTAGGCTGACTAAGTGTCCCCCTCAGTCCATCTCCCACTTTCAACCAAAGTTCACAACTGCAACAGGAGGCCCAGAAAACTTGATTAACTTTCTCTGCCCCTCACAAAAAGAACTTGAAAATTCAGCGTTTACATTTTTGTGACAAAGTACTTGTGAAATCTAGCTAGACACTTCAAGAGGAGATCACGATCATTCTTAAAAGTAGCAAGGAAGATAGTCTTGGAATAGCAGCCCACTCAGAATGTTTTCTGGGTGTCGAACAATAAAGCCTCAATTGTGCTCATTTGCTTTTAGCTGAAAATCTTATCTGGCATAACTGACTTGGGGAATTCAGCAGGTCAGGAAGGGGTAATAAGCGACATAGAAAGAACTACCCGGAATGGGAATCATGGAAAATAATTATCTTTATGTGAGAATTGTCTCTTGACCAGACAAGATCTACATTACTCTTTAACCATTCATAAGTCACCAAAAATGCCCACATGAGACCTTCAGTGTCTGCAGCCGGACTAAGATACAGTAGACCTCAATAGCTCATGTTCCACTTCAAGACAATCAACTCATTCATTAGTTCAGTTCTTATTAGTGGGAGCCATTTAGTGTTGTCACTTTAATTCCCAAGCAAAAGTCCATCTTGTCCTTAACAACTGATAAGACCAAGAAGCTTTCAAAAACAGAACGTGGAAGTTTACTCAGATCACAAACAGCAAAGACACAGAGTTAGGAAAAATCATTCGTATTCCTAGGCTTTTCCCAAAAAGCCAAACCAGGCCCATCTAAGACTAACACATATGTTGATAGCATTACATGTTAAGGGAGAAGATAAAGAATGTGTCACCAAGAGAAGATACTGGGAGAGCGAATGGACCGATACTCTACCAGTACAAGCCTAAGCATGTATACTCAGAAGTAAATCCCTCTAAATTCAGTTACTTCCTATTAAGTGTGTTTAGGATTGCAGCCGATGCTTAACTCTACAAAACAGCATAGACATACACTGCTTCCACCCCTACACAAAACCCCCAGATCTTATTACCCTGTTTACCTGTGGGTTTTTCCCCTCTGGCTTACATTCAACTGCCTTCATGGACCAGCTCCTATTATAGCATTTACAGCACAAGAAATTTCTAAGCAATCCAAACCAAATCTGTAACTTCCCTCAGTGTTTCTTTTTGTTTGTTTTTGTTTAAATCCTGCACGTGTCTCTGTAATACCCAAAGCCTCACATTTTACCTCACTGTTCTTTAGTTATATTGGAATGGGGAAGGGAGCTTAGCAAAATTATAACGTTTCTCACATCCTCCTCGTGCCAAGCAAGGCTTCACCTTGTTCGGGGAGAGAGAAGGTGTCAAGGCTCGCTTTCCCAAGAGGCAATCGCCAAGGTCTGACAAACCGCACATTCGTTGGCTAAGCAGAAGATGTTTTCGAGGCAAAAGGCCCACCGTCTGAACGGGCTTCCCTAAAGGAAGCGAGGAAAAGGCCAAGGAGGATCAAGCCAGAGAATCCCAGAGGGGAAGGGGGGGGGGGACGGACTCCTTTAACCTCTCCCACCCCACCCGTAACCCATGACGACGTCGGAGTTCCGAAAGTCGGTTTTCGCTTACCTGCAAAGCACCGCAAACGCCTGGAAATTCAGTTTCTTGATTTTCTTTTCACTCAGCCAATAGCCAACCCGTTTCCCTTTCAGAAAGGTCTGCATCTTCCCTTCCTCTTCACCAGAGTTATTTCAGATAATAATTTAATAATAATGAATCGAGGAGGAGCGCGAACGGCGGAGACACAAGCGGCCAAGAGGGCGCCCCCCCCCCCTTCTCAAGACACGGCGCTATAGGGCGCTCATTCAGTCTCTGGGGTGCCCGGAACTCTGTCTGTCCGCGGGGGGTGGGGTGGGGTGGGGGCTCTTCAGAATTTCACACACATTAGAGATTTCCAGCAGCGGCAGGAGGAACCTTGCAGAGGAGGGAGGGGGGGAGAAGTCAGCAGTCGCCCAGGAGCCATCTGGAAACTTCCCCGCACCAAAGGCAGCGCATGGCTCAGGCGGGCTCCTTGCGAGGAGCAAGTTGGGTGCCACCCTGTTTTGCAGGCCCTCCGAGGCCAAGCAGGTCCAGGAAGGTTCCGAGACAACGAGAAGGTGCCTCCGGCGGAGGGGAAAACGTCTCCCCGGTGGTGGTGGCGGTAGCGGTAGCGGTAGCGGTAGCAGCAGCAGCCGCCTTCCTCCTCCTCCTCCTCCTCTGCCGGTTAAATGGAGCAGGCGGAGGCGGCTCCTGCTCTCCCAGCAACCACAGCCGGAGGCGACGGCGACTCGGAGCTTGTACAGACCGCCCTGCGGGAGGAGGGAGGCGTCTGGAGCCGGGCTCGCCCGCTGACTGAGACTGCCGCCGCCGCAGCAACCCTTCAGGTCTCCATTTGCCC